AATCAATCCTTGCTTGCTTTTTTGCGCCACTATCGTCAATTTTGTCTGTGTATTGTGTTGTGTCGTCTTGTTGATACGACAAAATGCCGGTTTAACTTATCTTCCTTTCATTTTAGGACCAAAGTCAGGCTCAAGGCTATTTAATACCTACCTTTTCAGCTGGGTTTTCAGTGTCAAATTCTTTGTAGTGTGTCAGACCACATTCCAAGGCTAGTTTCCAAACAATGTGTTTTGAGGTGTTTTGATGCCTTTTTCCATATAGAATGTTGCCAATGTCATGAATGAAACTTTATTTATTCATTGTATTATACTTATTATTACCTACCATTTGACTTACTAATTGATTGTGGTTTTGCTATATGAATAAGTACTCTTCCTTTTATAGACCACAGTAGATTCTTAACAATTCTAATGATAGCCAACCTTGTGAAATGCTGAGGTCCATGTCAATGTGTTACCCCTATCCTTAGCAATGCAGCTTTTACCACAAAATGTATTTTGCAGTGGCTAAGATTGCTGTTATTACAATTTGATAGCTTCCTAGTGTCCAACGTTTGGATCTTATGGCGATATGCTGATAGTCTCACAATCGGTTTGTAATGAAACGGATTATTATGGATATTTTTTGGATGTATGGCTGAGATACGGGCCATGGGCGGGCCGGATTTTGAAATTCAAAGAAACACGGATAATGGGCGGATCTGGATATGACTTGCCGGATATGGGCCGGGCCGGATCCTGAAAAGCCTATCCGTGAAGTGCTCTAATATATATATATATATATATATATATATATATATATATATATATATATATGTATATATATATATATATATATATATATATATATATATATATATATATATATATATATATATATATATATATATATATATATATATATATATATATATATATATATATATATATATATATAGACCACTGTCACTCGGACACTGACACGGACTGGGACGGCACGACGGTGTGACGTCACACAGGCCTCCAACACGGCCTCCAACAGCTGCACCCGGCTGTGGGCACGGACACACCGGCTGCAGCCAGTAACGCTCGCCGCTGTGCTGGAGCCGCCCGCTGGCCACAGCAGCGACGGGGGCTGACAATCGTCCCGCACGGCAACGGAAAGGCCACACGACGGCAACGGGGGTGACTGCTGTGGTGGGATTTTCCGATAAATACGGTAATAGTTGTGAGCTCGGTATTATTTTGTGTGTACTTGACGATAGGTGACCGTTTGATGTTGTAAGTGCGTTGATGGACAGGCGAGGGTGATAAGTTGATTTTGTGAGTGCGTTGATGGACAGGCGAGTGTGATCTGTTGATTTTGTGAGTGCGTTGATGGACAGACGAGGGTGATTAGTTGATTTTGTGAGTGTGTTGATGGACCGGCGGGGATGATTAGTTGATTTTGTGAGTGCGTTGATGGACAGACGAGGGCACGTGGTTGACAGCGAGACAAGCCGGCTGCTGGATGTGCTGTGACAGTGTGTCGGTGCTTGTTGTCGGTGTCTGGTGGTGCAGCTGGCGGCGGCCCGCTGCCATACGGGAGCGGTCGGTCGGCAGGCCGCTCGGCGGCTCGTCCAGCCGGTAGTTGGTGTCAGATCTCTGAGGCCGGTGGGTCAGAGCCGGTGAGCCCGGTCAGGGCACGGCCGGAGCACGGCCACGGCCCCGGCGGCGGCACGGCGTGCTTGTCAGTGGGCCGGCCGTGACCTGGCGGTGACCGGTCGGTCTGTCTGCCGACCGACCACCGGTCGAGCCCCGACCGACCACTGGGACGGCACCGGGGGATGATCAGGGGGGCGGGCGGGACATTTCAGACTATTGAGTTGTGGAAGACCATCGTAATTCGTTGGTGACTGCTGATTACATAGTTCAGAGCGTATGTTCTGTATGTTTCTCGATAAACAGGGGTGTGTGTTGTATGTGAGTGAGTGGTCAGTACGGGGAGGCCGGCTGGCCGGCGGCCGATGGCACGCCGCCGCCGGCCCGGCCTGACCAGTGTACCGTACTGGGAGCAGCGAGGTCTGAGGCTGTCACCTCGGCGCCGCGGGCAGCGTCGGCCGGCCGCCGCCTGCCCTGTCCTCTCCGGTGTGGACCGAGACGAACATCGGACATAGGAGTGTCCCCGGCGGCCGTTTGTCCCAGTTGTGGGGCCATGCCGGCGCGTCGGACGGCACGGAGGGGAGTCGGGTCGTAGCCATGTGACTGCACGGTGGTGTGTAAGGTCAAATACAAGGTGCATTGGAGAAGACACCCAGTTGACCACGTGACCTCGAGCGACCCTGCACAGCGGACTGGGGAGAGGAGAAGGACAGGGTTGGGGGCTCAGCGGCCGCCGCAGAAACAGACACTCACATATAGGGTAGGGACAGTCGGCAGAGACAGCCCCACCGGTCCCACTCATGGGGTAGGGACAGTCGGCAGAGACAGTCCCACCGGTCCCACTCATGGGGTGGGGACAGTCGGCAGAGACAGTCCCACCGGTCCCACTCATGGGGTAGGGACAGTCGGCAGAGACAGTCCCACCGGTCCCACTCATGGGGTAGGGACAGTCGGCAGAGACAGTCCCACCGGTCCCACTCATGGGGTAGGGACAGTCGGCAGAGACAGTCCCACTGGTGCCACTCCTGGGGTAGGGACAGTCGGCAGAGACAGTCCCACCGGTCCCACTCATGGTGTAGGGACAGTCGGCAGAGACAGTCCCACTGGTCCCACTCATGGGGTAGGGACAGTCGGCAGAGACAGTCCCACTGGTGCCACTCCTGGGGTAGGGACAGTCGGCAGAGACAGTCCCACCGGTCCCACTCATGGTGTAGGGACAGTCGGCAGAGACAGTCCCACCGGTCCCACTCATGGGGTAGGGACAGTCGGCAGAGACAGTCCCACCGGTCCCACTCATGGGGTAGGGACAGTCGGCAGAGACAGTCCCACCGGTCCCACTCATGGGGTAGGGACAGTCGGCAGAGACAGTCCCACCGGTCCCACTCATGGGGTAGGGACAGTCGGCAGAGACAGTCCCACTGGTGCCACTCCTGGGGTAGGGACAGTCGGCAGAGACAGTCCCACCGGTCCCACTCATGGTGTAGGGACAGTCGGCAGAGACAGTCCCACCGGTCCCACTCATGGGGTAGGGACAGTCGGCAGAGACAGTCCCACTGGTGCCACTCCTGGGGTAGGGACAGTCGGCAGAGACAGTCCCACCGGTCCCACTCATGGGGTAGGGACAGTCGGCAGAGACAGTCCCACCGGTCCCACTCCTGGGGTAGGGACAGTCGGCAGAGACAGTCCCACCGGTCCCACTCATGGTGTAGGGACAGTCGGCAGAGACAGTCCCACTGGTCCCACTCCATGGGGTGGGGACAGTCGGCAGAGACAGTCCCACCGGTCCCACTCATGGGGTAGGGACAGTCGGCAGAGACAGTCCCACTGGTGCCACTCCTGGGGTAGGGACAGTCGGCAGAGACAGTCCCACCGGTCCCACTCATGGTGTAGGGACAGTCGGCAGAGACAGTCCCACCGGTCCCACTCATGGGGTAGGGACAGTCGGCAGAGACAGTCCCACTGGTGCCACTCCTGGGGTAGGGACAGTCGGCAGAGACAGTCCCACCGGTCCCACTCATGGTGTAGGGACAGTCGGCAGAGACAGTCCCACTGGTCCCACTCCATGGGGTGGGGACAGTCGGCAGAGACAGTCCCACCGGTCCCACTCATGGGGTAGGGACAGTCGGTAGAGACAGTCCCACCGGTCCCACTCATGGGGTGTGGACAGTCGACAGAGACAGTCCCACCGGTCCCACTCCTGGGGTGGGGACAGTCGGCAGAGACAGTCCCACCGGTGCGCGCCGCTCAGTGTCCCAGAGGGTGCGTCGCTGAGGTGCCGCGGCGCGCCGCAGCCCCGGCTCGGGCCGGCCAGCACCGCTCAGGTGACTGACGGCGGTCAGCCCAGCCGGCAGCGAGTCGCCGGGACCGGCAGCTCGGCCACCGGCTGCAGTCCGGGCCGCCGACAGACGAGCGGCCACGGCCGGCGGCACCGCACCAGTCGGCAGACAGCTCTGCAGCCGCGCCGCACCGCTGTATGGCCGGGACGGGGGGACTTGGTGCTGATTATAATACCACATCAGTCGAGTAGTTCTTACCTTCACTCATCACATGTTTCGCTGGACCGTGTGTGTCCGTGTCGAGGTGCCTCTGTGTATGTCCGTGTCGAGGTGTCTCCATGTGTCTCCGTGTTTGTGTCACTGCAGTGTCACTGCAGTGTGTACGGCCGCTGTACGGTCCGTATATGACGGGTACGGAGACGGTGTACGGAGACTGCCGCTCCGCTCCGCCGGGGCGGACTGTCTGTGACCGCGCGGGGCGGGGCGGAAAATGACGGTTCACAGCGGAGCGGGGCGGAAAATGACGGTTCACAGCGGAGCGGGGCGGAAAATGACGGCTCACAGCGGAGCGGGGCGGAAAATGACGGTTCACAGCGGAGCGGGGCGGAAAATGACGGTTCACAGCGGAGCGGGGCGGAAAATGACGGTTCACAGCGGGGCGGGGCGGACGGTGCAGCCGGACAAACACTCGGCACACTGCTCATTGGTTTATTGAGGGCTACATATATGATACAGCTCAAGCGTCTCCTCTCGTGTATGTATAGTAGACAGAGAGCAGAACAGACACCCGCTTGCCGGAGCGGCCGGGCGGGCGCGGCTGTGAGCCGCCGTCTCAGCTGACACCGCCTATACAGCTCGGACGGCCTATCCAGTAGTATATTGATATATACCTGTCCGTGTGAGTGTCACAGCACGCATCCAGAGCGCTCGACATGGCGCGCTGTGCACTAGAGATGTCAATCGGATACCAACGTTTTGGTATACCGATACCAAACCGATACCAACTTGGTACTTGGTATTTCAATCGTAATGTGTTTGGTATTTTGTTGGTATCATAAACCCTCGCTAATGTATAAGAGGCTAAGAAATCGGTAAAAGTTGGTATTTCCCTCATTTTCCCAAGTTGGTTTGGTTTCGGTATTTTCCCGGGATTTTCGTTGGTATTTAGTTAGGTATCGGTATTCTGATTTTCTGTAATTGACATCACTACTGTGCACCTCGGTGCCCGGTGAGACAGCGTCCCCGTCCGACTGCCCGCCGAGCCGAGCCGGCACGGCGGTCACGTGACCGAGCCGTCCGACTCCACCGGGGGACGGTCACGTGACCGAGGCCGGCAGTGCCGCCGGGACCAGGCGCGGTGAACCGAGTCGGACGGTCCGGGAGTGCCCCCATTTATACAGCTAAGCTAAGATGTGGGTTCTATATACAAAATATCGCAATGTCACGATCAGTTTCTACACTCAGTCACATCACTTTTCACTGTCCAATTACCCACAATACCCGCCCGGTAATTACCCACCAGGTCACATCCTTCCAGCCAACTACCCACAACACCCACCCGGTAATTACCCACTTCATCACATATCCCGTCCAATTACCCACAATACCCACCCGATAAATACCAACTAAATCATATCAGTGTGCTACTACTACATCTACACTACTACTACTACTACTACATGACTACACTAGAGCGGACACGGGGGCCGTGTGCCGGCTGACCGGCGCCGCTCTCAGTGCCGGCTGGTGCAGCCCACACGGCAGCAGTCAGCTGGCGGCCCCGGCCGACTGGCTCGGCCTCTCTGCAGTCAGCTCATCACTGCACGGTCGGTAGTTCAGCGCATCCAATCCTCCCACTCATACACTTCGACCCCATCGCCTTCCTGGCTCTTCAGCTGATCGTACAGCTCCTCTGTGGACAGAGCAGAGACACGTCTGAGGTGGCCACCTCACACACAGACAGACACACAGACAGCGGTACAGCCATGTCCACACACCGCCGGCCAGTGACGTCACACACAGGACAGACGGCTGACGTGACGTCACCGTCGGCCGTGGTGGCCGTGACGCGTCACGTCACCGTCCGTGACGCGGCCAGCGGCGGTGGTCGAGTGTGTGTGTGTCTGAGAGGCCGGTGGCGCCGTGCAGCGTCTGTTGTGAGGGACTGACTGGTCAGAGGCGCGGCGCGCGGCGCCCTCTCACCTACCGGGGACATGGAGATCGATGGTACGGGGCCGGCCATCACTGTCCCGCAGGTCCGCCTCCTTCAGGGCGGTCAGCACGGCCCGGGTGGTGTCTGCCGTGCAGTGAAGGTACAGCGACCACAGCTTCCGACACGACTTCACCAGTCTGTAACAGAGCAGAGCAGTAGAGCCGTCACACACAAACACAGCGGCACCAGCCGGCCGGACGTACGAGTCAGTGTCAGTGTGTCAGTAGTTAAGTGTCAGTGTGTTGGAGTCAGTGACAATGCGTCAGTGTCAGTGTGTCAGTGTCAGTGTCAGTGTGTCAGTGTATCAGTGTCAGTGTCAGTGTATCAGTGTCAGTGTGTCAGTGTGTTAGTGTCAGTGTGTCAATATCAGTGTTTTAGTGTCAGTGTCAGCGTGTCAGTGTGTCAGTGTCAGTGTGTCAGTGTCAGTGTGTCAGTGTCAGTGTGCCAGTGTCAGTATGTCAGTATCGGTGTCAGTGTCAGTGTGTCAGTGTCAGTGTGTCAGTGTCATTGTGTCAGTGTCAGTGTGTCAGTGTCAGTGTGTCAGTGTCAGTGTGTCAGTGTCAGTGTGTCAGTGTCAGTGTGTCAGTGTCAGTGTGTCAGTGTCAGTGTCATTTTGTCTGACAGGACACCCCTCGCCAGTGTCTGCTGACTGACCTGGTGACCGCTGCTGCTGTGAAGGCCGTCTCTGCCGGCCGCTGGCGGTCCCCCAGTGTAAGTCTCCACAGCCTGGGGCAGCCGCTGAGACTGTCCAGCACGGTGTCAGGGACGCCGCCGGACAGGGTGAGAACCCACAGCTCAGGGCACCTGGTGAGGGGCTTCAGGCTCACGGCGTCAGGGACGCCGCCGGACAGGGTGAGTTCCCGCAGCACAGGGCACCTGGTGAGGGGCTCCAGGCTCACGGTGTCAGGGACGCCGCCGGACAGGGTGAGACCCCGCAGCCCAGGGCACCTGGTGAGGGGCTCCAGGCTGCCGCCCGTGAGATCAGAACAGTCTGGAAAACACACAGACACACATACAGACAGGATCATTTGGCAGAAATATATGTCAATATATGGAAAAAACGAAACATCAAACAGCTATCAATTCGCATGGTTTTATGGACACCGTAAGCCATGATATAACAGTGGTACTATATGATATGCCATATAAACATGAATGAATGTGATAACATGAATGAATGAACATGATAACATGAATGTTCATGTTATCTATGGATATGCAATCAGTTCAGCCAATGCAATGAAGTGCATTGAACATTGCATTACAATCGCAATATGTTGTTCAACTAACTATGAGGGAATATGTCACTGACTGAACAGTTCTCCATTTTGGAGCTCAATTGGCTTCATTGTTTCACAAAGCACATTGGCTATGTATCACACCTGTCTCCATAAGGTCCGACAACGGCACACCGTTACTCGGTGTCCGCCATTCTCTTAGCTCGTATATCACAGCGGCCTGTCCGTGCTGCCGCTGCTCACCGTATATCTCCAGTACTCTGACCGTCCGTCCCAGGTCAGCCAGGTGACTGATGGTGTCGGCAGCCACCCCCTGGAGCGACACTGACAGACCGCCCCAGTACCGTTCCGGCCACCTCGGCTCCGTCACCTCCGGCCCTGTCGGACACAGCTGTGTCAGCTGACTGCAGTCGGACAGAGCTGCCGCCAGCTCCCTGCTGCACCACTGACACCAGAATGTCAGACACTGACATAGTCAGCACTGAAACAGACGACCGGCCGCACAGCAATTTTTTAGCAGCAGCAGCAGTCATATGTGGAATGTGAATATGAACATAATACGTATATGCGATAAGTATATGCGTAATACAGTAGTCTATGAAACTACTTATGCTACTCTCATTGGTTGCACTATATCTAATAATTATTCCCCTTGAAATACTTGCTCTCTAATTGTAACAATGCCTGCATTCCTGTGCTGGCCGCCTGCGATCGTGGCGCCACCTATACTCTGTATAACCGCCGCGCCAGGGCCGCGGCCGCCGGCCAGTCAGTCTCGTCAGTCTGCTCAGACTCGTCGTCAGCGAGCTCTCTATGTAGTCATTCAGTGTCAGTCGTCGATTAATACTCATTACGTTTGTTTGGAAATTTGTTGCTTGTGACAATGCAACTATCGCCAGTGCCTCAACTTAAAATCACCCCATGACGTTACACAGGGCCTCCTTTAAGGATTTTTCACTGGGTGGGCAAAATTTTTCGCCGCTCCCCTGCCCAAGGGCAGATCCAGTCACTTGTGTTGGGGTGCAACCATTTTCACCTGCGACTGGGGGGGGGGGGGTTAAATGGACTATCCCACCTTTAAAAAAGTACCATTTAGGATTCGGAAATGTTACTCATGATATTGTGACGAATTCTGCAAGTTTTTACGCGTTTTCATTGTATACTTTTTGAGATATTGCGACTTTTATATTTCATCGTGACGTCATTTAGATCGGATCCGTGACGTAATGAAGGATTTACTTCATGTCAATGTGGAGGAAATTTGGCAGCAAATATAGGTATTTGCTCTCAAATATGACGCGGCTCATACAATAACAAGTAACAAGATTTCCCCGGCGCCGATTTCAACTTATTCGTAAAACAGGTCGAACGCGTGAGACGGCTGATGACGTCATCAAATGGCCGTTAATAGTTAAGAGATAGGACCTTAGCTAAGGCCCACTTTTCAAATGAAGGGAACGAATTTCTTTAACACCACGAAACTGAGGATATTGCGACCAGGATTATAGTGGTTTCTGAACCTGGCCGCCAACTTGGCTATCTCAACTCAGAACTAATGCAAAGGTGGGGCAGTCCCTTTAAGGCCTATGTCACTTTCACAGTCAACCAACTGTGCCATTTATAGTTTAACGTTTGTCGTGTGTGATATGGTATTTCGTGTGTATTTCACCTTAAAGGTAATAGGTATGCCTATTGTCTACATTAGTGATATCAATAACGGAAAATCAGGATACCGATACCAAACCAAATGTCAACCAAAACCATGAAAAATACCGAAACCAAACCAACTTGGGAACATGAGGGAAATACCAACTTTTTACCGAATTCGTATCCTCTTATACATTAGCCGGATTCGTAATACCAACAAAATACCAACAACATTAGGATCAAAATACCAAATACCAAGTTGGTATCGGTTTTGTATCGGTATAGGTACCAAAAAGTTGGTATCCGATTGACATCTCTAGTCTACATACATTTAAAATTTTAAGAAGACTGCAAATGTGCAGAGTTAAACTTACTATGATTGCTCCTTGAACCAGAAATCGAATAGGTAGGTGATGCTCGCTGCCTCTTTTTAGGAGGCATGGTCAGCTTACTCTTGGCGCGTCCTCTTGATCTAAATACGGCTTTTATTGACCTTAATCTACTTGTAGGTAATACATCCTTGGCCTTGTAGTGCGCTACCCTGCTGACCCATGCCGGTCTTTGAGGGTCCCACACTGACCTCTGAGGCCCCATGCTGGCCTGTAAAGGCCCATATTAGCCTCTGAGGGCCCCGCACTGGATTCTGAAGACCCGATGCCGGCCTTTAACCATCCCCTGTATTGGTGTTTTTCCAGCCGCGAACGTATAGGAGGGGGGGGGGGGGCGTTGGACCTCCCTTGCCGTTTCGCTCCTGATCGAGCTAGAGCTTCGCGGAAAAAAACAAGCGTGTTGCCCGTGACGAGAGGAAGCCGATGATACCCAATTTTAACCCTCGCCGGCACAGGCCATTGCGTCCTTCGGCGGCACGACCCCCCCCCCCCTTGCGTTTGGCCCCTGATCAAGCTAGAGCTTCACGGAAAAAACGAGCGTGTTCCCCGTCACGAGAGGAAGCCGATGATACCCAATTTTAAGGTCCTAGGTCATCGGGTGACCTTCCAGGTCAGGTCAATGACCCGAAAAATATTTTTATTCGCAATCGGGACCTGTTAGAAAGTCGTAAAGTGTGGCTGCTATGTGGTTTTCCGGGGTGCTGATCACGAATATAGTGTTAGTTTTGATCAGAGATGATGTTTTAACCCGCGCGCCGACGGGGGTCTGCGCCAACTTCGCACCGACGGGGGGGCGGATGACCGCCCCCCCCCCCCCCTGAGATCTCGAGAACGAAGCAAGATAGCGACAAGCAGTAAACGGCATCGGATACGCACGGCCAAGATCTACAATTTTTACAAAGGTCATTTTCAGGTCAGGTCAAAGATGACGTCACAGGGGTCGAAAAAGTCAAAATGGCGGCGCTAGATATGGAGAGAGTTTTTCTCGATTAACTTTCGAATTAGTCAAGATAGGAACAAACTAAAGGCATCATCGTGATCCTCTCGTCAATCCGCATCGAATGATATATATGTTGACCTCGAAAGGTCAAGGTCAAAGGTTGACCTCAGGTCACGTGACCTCGAGGTCATCATGTATATCATTCGATGCGTCTTGACGAGCTGAACACAATGAGACCATCCACGCGTCTGTATCTTGTTCCTGTACGGAGTTATTGGCCAAAAACCTTTGGTGACTTTTGATGACGTCACATGACCTCACAGCTGCCCAACAGTAAAACAGACCTCAACCCGCGCACCGACGGGGGGGGCGGATATCCGCCCCCCCCCCCTGAGGTTTTTCGCGGATAGCGGGAAAACCGCGGCGCGTAGCGCCGCGAAATTTGGTATGACTATTCTCTCATCAATTTTACACATGGTGTGCAAGTTTGAACCTCCTAGGGTAGTGAGCCTAAAATGAGTATACGCAAAAAATGAGTATAGTTTTGGAAAATGTGCATTACGCCAAAGTTATTTTGAACAAAAATAAGAAAAAATACACAGTGCGTCCGAAGGTCTACTGCAACAGTTGCAAATACGTCCATCGCCAAATGTCAAGCGACTTTGGTCTGAAAAAATGATTGAATGCTTTTTTCAAAAATGTCACAAAAAGTACATGCTAAAAAGTGAAGCCTGGTGAAAATATGTGCACTGCTGAAATAATTTTACCTTTTCAGCTGTTTGTCTCATGCACTGAGCTTGCTGGCAGCCGTAAAAAATAATCGAAAATTCGAAAGCGTAATGCAAAAATTTTAGCATTTGTAAATTTCTATAAAATGAGTATAGTTCCACAAAGTGTTGCAAAAAATGAGTATAGTATGAAAAGTGTGAATTTGAGCATGGCTACTCCACCGCCTGCTAAATATCGCCCCCAAAGACATTTCCGGGATTATTTTGGTTATGATTACGATCTACCGGCCATCTTCGATGGCCACAATGACTGACGCTGCAGCGTATCTGTAAGCGCGATACGGTAAGCGTTGGAACTCGTTTCGGTCGATTCTCATTTGCTTGAGCTTCAGTCACCGATCTTTTTTTCCTTTTTCATTTTCCTTTATTTTTTATTATTATTTTATTTTTTATAGTTAAGCGGTGACATTAATTGCTTTATCTACTCCTGGCCATTTTGGCGAAATACCGTACAACCGGATGTGACGTCATGTGATCTGCGACCACCAGTGCCCTCTCCACCAATCGGGAGTCACCGGAAATGGCACTGTGACCTGTCACGTGACCAGCACCGGCTCGACCAATCAGGAGGCGTTTCCGGCGACAGAGGTGACTCCGAGGGTCGGCTGAGCTTTTCGCGTCCTTTTTGCACTGATCGTCGTCTCATGCGCGTGTCCTGCTGGCATACGGCAAAAACTGGTGAGTTTTGAATGGCATTAGTCTTGGATTCTCCTTCAGTGATAATTTGTTGTGTATTGCTTACAATCTGATTTCAACTTTAAAAAAAAAAAATTATATCAGGTAATCATTCTGGTTTGTAGCGGTTCGCAATTTAGTATGCCCTCAGAACTCTTGATATATTGGGTAATGTTTGGTCATACAGGACCTGCTGAAGGACCTGCCGACCTGAGCTGCGGGCCTCTGCCTGCCGAGTATCGTCGTCATTGATTCAAAAGCACTGGTGTAAACGCGCACATTCCTGGCACGAATTATTAAACAATGACCTCTTTTTTGTCAGGTGGCACCAATTGTCATGCCGAAGTACACGGAGGAAGATCTGGGCAGAGCGAAGAAGCTCGTCGCGGATGGATTCACCGTCTACAAGGCAGCCAAGGACACCGGCGTGCCGTACGAGACGCTCCGCCGTCACATCTTCGGCATCAACGTCACCGGCTCCACTGGCTCTGGGCGACCGACGGTGCTGACGAGGACCGAAGAGGACAAGCTGGTGGAAATCCTCGCTTACCTCGCCCGCCAAGCATTTCCACTGGACACCAGTGACATCTGCGATCTGGTCCAGCAGTTCCTGAACAACCTCGGCAGAGAGACGCAGTGGAAGGACAACAGGCCCACCCGCTTCTGGCTGTCACGTTTCAAGGCTCGTCACGCCGGTGTCCTCGCGTCGCGCAAACCGGAGATCCTCACCATCACTCGTGCCAAGTCTCTGACAGAGGAAGTGGTTGGCGCCTTCTTCTCCATGTACAACAGGGTGCTCGTCGACCTGGGACTCGAGGACAAGCCGGACAACATCTACAACCTCGATGAGACGGGACTCTCGACCGATCCGCGCTCGACAAGGGTCATCGTCCCCAGCAAGTCCCGTGACGCCTACCTGAAGACGGCCAGCTGTGGTAA